ATAAAATGGAAAGGGAGTAGAAGTAGGAGGAGTGAGTGGTTGAGTGAAGCAGACTCCATTAGTGAATGAGAGGCAGTTGGAGCAATTACTGATACCACAAGGGATACAGAGCTTCTTGCTAGAGTCAGCAATCATGCTAGCTGGACATATTTGGCACCTTCTGTCTCCAGTTGATGAGCAATTGATGGGAATTGTGTCAACTACAATAGGTAGAGAAATAAACCACTAAAATATAGAATTCAATATTAAATGTTTGTTTTTTGTTATTGGGTGGACTCTCCTCAGCAAAATAAAAGATGCAAACAGAACTGTGAACATAATGTACAGGTACAAAGTACATGTATATGTAGGCGTTATCAATGCTTAGTTCACAGTAACAAAAAACTCCTTTTACTCTCCCTCTCCTGGGTCCCCCTATTTCACTTACCAAATATAGAAGTCTGATCCTCACAGCCAGTGCAAGTCCCTCCAGTGTATACCAATGGAGACAGACAACTGAGGCAATACAAACCATCATCAGATCTAACCTAGTTATAGGTACATGTACATGTAATACAGTTACAGTATAATCACATATTCATATAACATGTTATATGTACCATGGTCTCTCGGTGTGTATCAGTATAATAATAAGACTTTTACCCCTCAATGTCTGTCTTCAGCCTCGCCTCAGGCAGATATCTCTGGGCTCGGATCTTACATTACTAATAGTCTAATACACATCTCTAAACTAAGATTTATATATTACATGTAAGTCCACATCATACTTAAGCTGTGTACATGTACATGCAACTCAACTGATTTCATCAATTGCACAAAACAGAATGGCAAGATCAACCTAAGGATGGTCTTATGTTGCGTTCTCTATAACTGATGCAATGGGAGGAGTTAAGTATATTATAAACTTAGTTTAAACAATCCCAATTCCAATCCTAAAAATACCACTATGCTTACAATACTGCCACATAAATACTTGGCACTGATGCAGTGTACAAATTATGCTCCTGCTTACTGAGCTGAGACTAGGGCAGGCCTCACAAGTGACTGGTCCAATGTTAGAGGTTTGTCTGTATCCAGTCACACAGTTACAGGATAATCCTATCATTATTATAAGTATAGGCACAGTAAATTAATGAACACTCACCATTGCTTGAAGTGATAGAGTTGGGTGGGCAAAAAATACAGGAGAGGTTTCCAGGGTAGAAGTACTGAGTATCATGGTTACAGGATTGAGGTGTGTTGAAGTATATTGGAGATACATTAGACCGAGGACTACCCAATGATACCAGTACTAGAATAACAAAGCTGTATGCACAATCCTTTTCTGGGCGTCCTTTTATTGAGTGATAGGTCAAGGACGTACATTTTACTATTACTTGAGTGGAATGCCACCATTTTGTAGGCCGGGCCTATGGCTGCTGCATGCATGCATGCTAGGCATAGCTAGATCTATTAATTTCTATCTAGATCTACTCTGGATTAGTAATGATAGAACATGTCGACTTTACTGCTATATCGTCTACTATTATTTGCTTATCTCTTTTACAAATCTAATGGATATTTTGTTGACGTAACGTTTAACTTCACTGTGAGTGACGAATGTACTGATTCTAATGATGCTGATATACTTTCTTTCTGGGGAAGATACGCCTACATCAGGTTGCGTGATTCTCATAGTTTTTTTGAACAATGCTTTCCTTTCAAAAGTAAGTAAATGACTACACTAAATTTAAATACTTTCTGAATTTCACAGAATCAGACCAAATGTGTAAACAGACTGTTCGTTTTGAGGTATCAAATGATACTAGAACTTTGAGATTTTTACAATTCTTGTGGAGGGTGCATAGTGATAGCTGTAGTGTGAGTATAACCTATGGAGTGGTTAGGAATTCAAGCACTACTGTACAATTAGAATTTTGTATGCATCAAGATCCTTTAAGATTTATATCAAAAGTGATTTGGAATGATAAATCAACAGAACTATGCTTTAAATATCCTGTTGGCATATGTAACTCACCAAGTAATAAAGTTACTACTTCATGTCCCAGTGTCAGTGAGCTTACTTCACTCTCTCCTACTTCAATGTATACACTTACACCTTCATTATCTCTCAGTCATATTTCTTTGTCTTTAGCAGCATCATCACAACTGCCTGGTTACACATCATCATCATCATCATCATCACAATTTCCACATTCACCACCTTTAGATCTATCTTTTATTGTCAATTCATCAGTATCAATATCTGATTCATCAGAATCCTGTCTTGTCAGTATACAAACACCTTCAGCTATGTCATCAATGCCTACTTCAGTACCTTCATATTCATCTTCAACTACATCATCAATGCATAGTCTATCTTATCACTCCACGATATTTTATTCAATGCCTACTTCAACACAGTCATCTGCTTCTCAACTCAACTCTTTCAGTATACAAGCTACATCATCAATGCCTATTTCAATACTGACATCTGTTTTTCGACTCAACTCTACGTCATCAATGCATATCCTATCATCTAGACCTCACTCCTCAAACAATGAACATACTCCTCTATCTAGAACAACAATGCCTGCAGTAACTTCAATTGTTGCAGTAACATCTTTCTCTCATATTAATTCTCCCTCTCCTTCTCTCTCTCTTCCTTTAATGAATTGCCCAGAAACTAATCAATGGGAAAGCACTAAACCAGGACAATGGGCAAATGGTACTTGTCATAAAGGAACATTTAATGGTTAGTATCACTTGTAATAAATTGACCAACTATTTTCTATTTAGCCACAAGATATTGTGATCATAATGGAAGTTGGGGTCGAATTAACTGCAGTGCTAGTAAGCAATTCAGAGAAATAATATCAAAGGTAATTTGATATCAAACACTGCCTTCATTATTGGCATACCTTTAACTTGTAGATCAATATATCACATTATGATGCTCTTGAATCACTATCAGAACAACTCAATGACTTTTCAGCAGCTCAAAGCATTGTATTACTGGACTTCATCATCACAAACAGCACTATAGAATCAGATAATGAGACAACACAGGTATGTATAGTTGGTCATACATGTACCTGGCATATGCATCATTGCCTTAAGCACAAAGCATGCACTTTACAAAACAGTTACTATTAAAATTTCTGTTTTTAGATAGTGCTTGATATAGCTAGTGAAATAATACAGATGGCTTCAAATAAGACGGTATCATTAATTATTCAAATAATATCAATTGTATGAATCTCATGCATAGGATGGTGTCTCTATTTTTAGTCAGCTATTAATGACACTGGACAATTTTGCACTTAATGTAAGACAGGACTTATCCCTTTCTACTGACAGTATTTGTAAGAACTGAAAATCAGTGTTAATGCACTACTACTGTCCATTGCTTGTAGTTCTAAATGTTAAACAGATTCAAGATTTCCCTGATGAAGAGGCCACAGCAATTGATTATAATGGCAACACTCTAACACTAGCAAATGTGATATTCACTGCTCTACCAGCTACAGTAGCATCCTTTGTATATGAAGACCTATCAGTCCTTTCTCCTACAAATGATGATGAGCTTATATCACCAGTCATATCTTCAACTGTCAGATGTAACGGTACCTGTAATACTAATGATCTTGATAGAAAAGTGACAATAACATTCAATTTGTCAGATGTACAACAGGTATACTAGATTAATTCTTTATTACTAGTATTACTGCTAATTTCTAAATTTTGCAGTCATTAAATGGCAAAAATGTTTCTTGTGTTTTTTGGAAGTTTAATACTATGTAAGACCGCTTTTATTTAGCTGTTGTTGACTTTTATTTTTACAATAGTTCTAATGATTCATTGCCAACTGGCTATTGGGATAAGGAAGGATGTACTAGTGTACTAACAAGTGAAAGCTCTGTCACCTGTAAATGCAATCATTTAACACATTTTGCTATTTTGCTTAGCCCAAGATCAGAAGAACCATCACCAGTATAATAATACACACATACTGGTTTCAACTATTAGCCATGTATTTTCTTTTCATAGGTTCACACTAAAATACTGACCATTGCTGGTCAAATACTAGTTCCCATATCCCTAGTGTGTCTGCTACTGGTCATACTGACCTATGCGCATTTAAAGTCAGACA